GTCTTCCAAAAACTAGGAAATAACATCATTGGTTCTTTGCTTCTTTGGTTGTTTTTTTTATTTGAATTCGAACACCAAACGGACTGACATGTCCAATGACAAGGAAGCAAATGAGGTCCAAGGAACCCAGGCATGGGAAAACGTCGAAAATTGACAAAGGTGAAAAGAAAATATGGGAAAGGAAAGCTCTCAGCAAAAGAAATATAAATAAAAAGAAAGAAAAAAGAAAGAAAGGAGAAAAAAAAAAAGATAAATCGTGGTCACGGCGAGAAGAAAGCTCTTATTATTATTATTATTATTATTATTTTAGAATTGCGATGAACAGAAAGAGCTGAACCGACATTTCACAAAGGCTTTTCTTGTATTCAAAAAACGAGTAGATACGAAGGCAGTGAAGAACATGGAAGAAAGAAAAAATGTGATATGGAATAAATGATGAACAAAAAAATCTTACTTCGAACTAGTTTTCGCACAACACTCCTCAGGAAGCTACGTTGTACTAATGAAAAACAATCCAGAAAGATACTAATAAAGAGAAATGGAGTGTGAAGAAACAACACCTATGAAATGATAATCATAGCACTAAGGTAATATGGCAAAAAATAAGATAAATTGTGCACTCGTAACAACAGCAAAAATGAAGAAAGTCAAGTTCCATAACAATTTCTTGTGACTGTCATCAGTGGAACGCCGTCACATAAAAATGTAATAACTAAAACACACACTTATATACATGTAGCTAATATGGTTTCAGGTAGATATACAGCAGCTAACAAGTACAAAAAGCGAAGTTTGCACCTTTGCAATGTGTCAATATAGTGTATGTGAGAAAGGTAGTGGCAGATGAATGTGATACTGTGTGAATGAATGTAATGGTGCGTGTGTATTACTTGAAGAGTGTGAGTGATACAACGTTTTCTTTCTGTTTACATAGCACATGGTCACGAGTACGAATATACACAGCTTCCAACACCTGCATTTGCTTGAAGAAACGTGCGCAACGAATAACACTTAACCAGGAATGGTCAAACACCTTACGACATTCTGGACTGGACACCAAATGCTTGTACACTGCAGACTTCCTCTTGTCAACATCAAACTCCTCCTCATCACTACTCTCATCCTCCACCTCCCTTCCAATGCCGCCGTCCATCCCATCGCACTCGTATTCGTCGTCATCAGTCTCCATCTCCTCGCGACACCGCTTCCCTCTCCTTGATTCGTTCTGTGGCGTGCCTGTGCTTCCTCCTGCGTCTCCTTGCCTTGTGTTCTCCACTTGTCTCAGTCGTGCCTCTGCTAGTCTCTTGCTTCTCCTCGGTTCTGCTCTGTTTTCAAGTTGTTCCCCTTCCGCTCTCACCGTTGTAGCAACATGGTTTGTCGAGGAGCGACCGTCCGGCGGCCTCCCTTGCCGTGGTCCGGTTTCCGAGGGGGGGGGGGGGACCAGATTAGTCTGCTCGTTCTCCATGGAAGTAGTCGTTGTTTCTGTTTCCGAATTGTGAGCCATGCTAGGTGTAGAAATAGGCAGCGGATGTTTCCGTGGTCTCCCACGCTTCGGCCTGCTTAATCTGGCAGCCTGGGACAACAATGATAATGGCACATGCTGCTTGATGCGTTCGGACAAGTGTTGAAGCGTCCTGCCAACATACCGACTACCACATTGTCGGCATTCAAATTGATAAATGAGATGGCTCAAATGGTGGGTTCGCAGGACGTCCTTCAACACTGTGAACGAACGCACCGTTGTAAAGACAGTAACTACATTCACTGCATAGTATGTCTTTTGCACGATCGATTTCACTGCACGACTGACTTTTGTTGATTCAGAACCTTTCCAAGGCAGGCATAAGAACACCCGACACGGTGTTGGCCCGATTTTTTGTTCCTTCCGCGGCTCTTTGCTCGTAAGCAGTTTTGCTAAGAGTGATGATGGATATCCATTTTTCAGGAAAACTGAGCGCAGGAAATCGAGTTCAGGTTGTAATTTACTGTCAGAGCAAATGCGTCTTGCCCTATCCACCAAGTTCCTGACTAAATTGATCTTGTACTGGGCCGAGCAATTTGAGTCATACATTATATATTGTCCTGTAAACGTAGGCTTACGATAAACCGATGTGACAACACCATCACACGCCCTTTCGACTAAGACATCCAAACATGACAATTTTCTGGATTCTTCGTGTTCACACGTGAAGCGCAGCGCAGGATGGACATCATTCAATTCAGTTAGAAAGGCTTCACTGTCACGTCTTGATTCGAAATAGGTAAATGAGTCGTCCACAAATCGAACGTACAACTGAGGCCACTTTACTTTATCCATTCTCGACTCGCAATATCCAACGAAGACGTTGGCTAGTGCCGGACCCAGCGGCGACCCCATTGCCACCCCGTCCGTTTGCTTGTACATCACGTCACCGAACGAAAACTCGACACCACTCGTAACCATCAACATCAAACGTCGAAACGCTGACTCAGGTAACCAAGGGACATCGACGTCATCATCATTATGGTAGAGTGTATGCGCACAGATATCGGCAAGGGAGACCTTAGTCTAAATAGAATATTGAAAGACTTGAGTGATTTTTTGCCTATGTATTCAACATGCTCCGTCCAGCGGAGGTCATGCTGAAAGATTATTCCGAGGTGTTTGTGTTTTTGTGCTACGGTAAGCAGATTATTCTTGAGGGTGATCTGGGGTAGCTGTTCAGGGGGGCGGTTATTGTGGTGGAATGGGAGGATGACTGCTTTCTTTGTGTTAACCAGCAGGTGCCATGTTTGAAGCCAGTCTCCAGCTGCTGTGACACTCTGTTGTAGGTTTCGGGTGCAGTCTTGAAGAGTTCTCGCTATGGAAATCAGAGCGGTGTCATCTGCAAATTGGCTACAAGTGGTGCCGGGAGTCTCACATACATGTGGAAGGTCTATGGTGTAGACGAGGAAGCGGCCCAAGAACAGATCCCTGAGGGACGCCGGCAGGGATCTCGAGGAAAGGCGATAGGTCGCCATCCACCTGGACCCTCTGCCGACGCCCCAACAGGTACCGTCGGAACCACTCCAGGTCTTTGCCCTGGACACCATGGTGGGAGAGTTTTGCTAGAAGGCCTGCATGCCACACACGTTTGAAGGCCTTTCTTAGATCAAAAAAGCAGGCATTGACGTGTTTCCCGTCGTCTCTCGCAGTGAAGAGGGTATGGACGAGACGGGCAAGCTGCTGCTCAGTGCCGTCTTTCTCACGGAATCCGGACTGCTGGTTGGGTAGGTGGGGTGTGATGTGCTTGTAGAGGAGTTGATGTGCAATTTGTGCTTGAATTTTTGATATAGTGCTCAAGAGAGAGATGGGTCTGTAGTTGGTTGGTTGGGTTAGGTCACCAGGCTTGGGTACTGGAGTAATGGTGGCATCTTTCCACTCCTGTTCGATTTCTCCGGTTTGGAACGATAGATTAAAGAGGGACGATAACGACGGTGCAAGTTCCTTAGCCGCTTCTTTGAGTAGGCGGTTTGGAATAGATTTGAACCCTGGGCTTTTGTTGGTATCAACTCCGCGGAGGAGTTTTTCGACCTCAGCTTGGGAAGTCGAGATTCCTTGAAGGGGACTGAGGATGTCAGGGGTGGTGTTGATGGCTGGAGTTTGCTCATCCGCATTGGCCACAGACAGCTTGTTCTGTGAAATGAAGAAGTCGTTGAGAGCAGCGGCTTTTTGTGCTGGTGTCGTTGCAGGAGTTGCTTGGCTGACGAGTTTGGGTATGCGTTGTTTTGTAGCTGTAGTAAAGTGCTTCATGAGGCGGAGTAGGGAAGTAGAGGAGGCTGTTGAGTTGTTTACGAAATCCGATTTTGCACGACGCAGGAGGTTGGTGACACGGTTTCTTTGGGCAGTGAACGTGTTCCAGTCGTCGGGCGAGCGTGAGTGAAGGTATATTCTGTGTTTTCTGTGCTTATCCTTGATCTCTTTCAAGAGACCCTTTGATATCCATGGTCGTGCTGGCATGTTCTTCCTGTCCCAAGGGGGGTGAGTGCGAGTAACTTGGCAGTGTTCTTGGGCGATGCTCAGGACTTTGTCGCGTGAGGATCGCCAGAAGGTGTCAGCTGGGCATGGGTCGTGTTCGTTTGGATGGTGGTTGAGATTTGTGCGTGAAAGGGCTTCTCGAAGAAGGTGGATAGTGCTGTCTGTCCATGACCAGAATGTGGTGCTTCTGGATCGTGGAGGGGGGTTGTTAATTATGGGGGAGGCAGTTGATTACTGATGTGGCCACTGATAGTAGTGTGATCGGATGCGCCAAACGGTGGAAGTGATTGGATATGAACATTATTACTGTGGAATGAGGAGATAACAAGGTCTAGACATGAGAGAGGTCTTTGTCGGTGGATGTAAGTAGGGAATTTGACATGTTGTGTGAGACCGTATGTGTGTAGAAGAGTTTGTATGTCGTCCCCAAGGCGATCTGTTCTGTCTGTGGTGAGCCACGCACTGTTCTTGGCATTGAAGTCTCCAAGTAGTAGGAGGTTGTCACCTTCGGCTCTAGCGGTTTTTGCTTCTTTCCAGTTCGGCACAGAAGAGGGTGCCATTGCTACGGGGTGGTCGGTAAATGTTTGCAACAACGAGGGAAAGGTTCTCGGTGGAAATTCTCGTCCATACGCATTCTGCTGCTGTCATTGGTATTGTCACTACCATTGTGTTGAAACGTTCCGCTGTGTACAAGGCAACACCACCACTAAAGTCCTGTCTGTCAGCTCTGGTCAGCTTGTAGCCTGGGATTGCATTGAGACTGTCAGGGTCTGATGTGTCAGCCCAGGTTTCCTGGACTGCAATGACTGATAGTTCGTTCTGAGATTCAGAGCACGAACGAGTAAAGGTAAGTAACTCGTCCATTTTGTTGAATAAGCAATGCACATTGGTGCTGAGAAAGTTCAAATTCACTGACATTGGTACTTTTTTTGTTCTCTTTTAAATTCTTATTTTTTGTTTTTTTGTTCTGTTTTTTTTTTTGCTGTTCCTTATGGAATTCGCGTTATGCTGCGGGCTTCCTCTTCTTGGCCTTGGAGCGATGCGACGGGATCGCATTGGGCGGTGTCTGTTCCAACTGATTGTGCTTGCGGCGGCGCTTGCTGTGTGTTTTCCAGTCTCCCTTGTCTACTGTGACTTGTTGAAGTAACGCGAGGCTGCGTTCGTCATCATCATCACTGTACATGATGTCACTCGTGTCGTCGCTGTCGCTCGTGCCTGCATCTCCCTTGTGATCACGAGGCGTGCTGGTCGCAGTGGCCAGCAGGCTGCTGCTTGGTGACGCGGGGCTGGGCAAGTGGTCGTCTTTCGTCGACGTGCTGTTGGCTCGGGAGTCCTTGCTTGACTCTTCTTTATTGCTGCCAGTTGATTTTTCATGTTCAAAACTGTCGTTCAGTTGAACCGCCAGGCTCGAAGCTGAGTCCATACGCGGCAGGTTCGTACTGCATGTACCTGCGGACTCTTCGTTTTTACTACCAGTTGGTGATGTTTCACGTTCAAAACTGTGTTCGGGTTGAGCCACCAGGCTCGCAGCTGAGTCCATACGCGGCAGGTCTGTGCTTTAATCTGTAGCTGCAGTACTACCGGTAGTACTGGCACGGTCTGCGTACGTTCCACTGCGACCCTCCTTGTTGTTGTTTATTTTACTTCATCAAATGAACAGGCATAGATGCCTTCTCACCTGCCCATAGAACAGGTTCTCACAGAATGATGAAGGGATGATATGCAAGGGAAAACAAGAAATGATAATAATATAAGACAGAAAGGACCAAAAGAAGAAAAGGAAAAAAATATAATGAAGATAATTTCATGGAGTCAAAAATAGACAGACAATAATTTCATGGAGTCAAAGAATAGAAAGACAATTTCATGGAGTCAGGAATACGTGGTTGATTTTATAGACATGCATGCACAAATGATTGATAGATGAGAAGGTTGGAATTTATGGCAGATAATAAAAGTATACGAACTTAGAAGTTGCGACTTAAGCGGTAATAGTCATGAAGTTGGTTGCTCCAACGAGGAGCACGCGCTTCTTGCCGAACTTGACACTTGACAAAGCGTCTCTGTAAGTTTGTGTCCATGGTGATGGTTTGCCCTGGAGAGCAGTATATAAGTGGTGCTTTTCAGGCACAATCTTCCTCAGCCTACTCAAGCTCAACTGATGAGGGGTGAATTCCCCGAAACACTGTGTATTGAGCAGGGGGTGGTGCTTTCTTTCAGGTTTGCCGAGCGGAAGGTGCGACGTGCTCCTCGTTTGCTCCGGATGGCAGTCGCGAGTCAGTCAAGTGTCAAGTTCGGCAAGAAGCTTGTGCTCCTCATTGGAGCAACACACTTCATAATAAAAGTATAACGAGGATATTCACAAAGTAAGTATATCAATGGCAGAAAGAGCTTTTCGGAATGGACCAGGGACACGTATCACTCTAAAATCAGAGGGGAGAGCATTCCAGAGAATGCTTCTCCGAAACATCATGGTCGATTGCCCCGCAGGCCCACAAAGAAAGGTAACTTGAAGCAAGTTCGACACTTGTCCCCGTGTGGTGCGCTGATCCTCCGGAACAGTCTCTGGGGCCGTTTGAGTGAATAATTGTTGCAGGAGGAGTTAATTCATCGATGAACAAATACGACAATTTTGTGTGTATATGTATGTGGTAGACTAACAATGCTGAGCAGAGAGAGCAGCGGGGAAGTTGGAGTCAAGAGCCGCTGTTGCAAGGTGGCATGGATGCCAGCCTTGAACATCTTTTCAAGCTGACAAGTGGGTGCTAAGTCCTGGAAAGAAACTGTTTGAACCATAACACTGGGAAAGGATCATGCTCAGGAACCACGTTCGCTTGGCAAGCAAACTCAGTCCTCGTACATGCCTCCAGAGCTGACCAATAGATGACTTGCACAAAGATCAGAGCCGCGAGTGAGACGGGGCAAGTGCACCCTGTGCACCCAGGCTACACTGCGGGCACCCTACACCAGTGTACACCGTCTGTAGACTAGTGTAGTGTACTTTTTTTGTCAGCATGAATGAACGGTGCACGGCATGTACATGTACATGATCAGTACCGTCACTGTCTTCAGCAGCTCATGAGTCATGCATGTGCACTTGTAGGGTTAGTGGAAGCAGGTATTGTACTACTCCCTGAGTGGAAGTACATGTACATGTACATGACTGTATTATTATGTGAAGAGAAGCCAGGCGTCCAAATCAACCCAAAATACTCTTGCCTTATTCTTCGGTGAAATAGATAAAACAATTGTGTTACTAAACAACAGTGAGCATAGAAGCAACCTCGATGCACCCAATAATATGGCATCCGGGAACAGCAAGTGTGGCACGAGGATCCCAAGAACACGTCAAGTTCCATGCTACCCGCCGCCATCAAAAGAACGAAGGATAACTGTGCTAGCCTAGTTCATATTCAATGTAACGCTAACGGTACAGGATATAGGAGCCTGTTGGGAAGGCGTGGGTGAGCTGTAAAATCTTGTACGGTTCGCACAGCACAACATACATGCAGCAGTTATTGCGACGTTTAACGTCGATGGACGAGAGTCATAAAGTCCATGGGGGTTGACGTTTCTGGGCTTCCTTTCCGAAAGGAAAGTTTTATTTCTTCTCAAAAAAGCAGAATCATGCTAATTATACCAATTTGTTATGAAGACAAGGAAGCAGCCAAGGACATTGTGCCATGCTAAAGGAACGACAGGAAAAGATAAAGCACTTCACCTGAAAACTGAAGGACTATCCATAAATACAGCAAATGATAATCCTAGCCTAGTAATGTCCAACTCCGTCATGTGAGCCATTCGGTGAGTTATTATGAGAAGCATAATGTTCGAAATGCTGAAATTTGAACAGTTGCAGTTGTGTTCGTCGCCACACAATGCCATCGCCAGTTCACATTCGGAATGTAGCCATTTTTACGCTTGTGTCCCTGTACACGGCATGGAAGGCTGAACAGATTCAACTCTTCCATCGCTTCCTGATCTGTACAGTAGTGCGGTTGCGTTCCCGTTCCTGACACTCACATCCGTCTCCGCTAACCAGCATCATGAGCACTCCAATGGTTCCCGCCGCTCCTTCCGTATCGTCCCAGCGCGCCCCGTCAAAATGTGAATTACTGTAGGCAATGGAGCCAGTGTATGATGAAGGCGAATGCACTGTTTGATGATGCTCCAACAAATCCTTTCTGAGACTGAGACCCAGTTGGAGCCGCATCATCGTCATTACCAGCTAATCATGGGGAGGTATAATGTAACTCTCCACCACTCCCTGATTCAATCATAGTTTGCGAGCCTGCGCCAAACTGCTTTCTCACTAGAGCCAGGCATTGGATACATATGGCTTCAGTAAGGTTTACAATGCTATGTCTCTGGCCTAAATCCAAGTCTAGATACAGCTGCTCAGAGTCAGGGCTGATGAAGTGTTCATATCGGAACAAGTGAGACTTCAACAGTAGCTAGTACACATTAGGCCTGAGGACTTCGCAGCGTTTCTCCAGCACACTTGTTCTCTCCTTCAACTCAGATACTACTTGAAGTACTACTAAAGGCCATCTGGCTCTCACACTCAGTCCTTCCACCCCTCATTTTCGTGGTTTGGGCTTCCACTCGTGACTCGGCAGGTTCCTGGCCTCTCCGCAGTCTGTCCTCAGGAGAGAGTCGCTCTGGATCTAGTACAGCCGAATCGAAGGGAATCGAGTTCTTTCTCAGACGTCCACAAACTTTCGTTGTGCTTGACTTTGCTTCCACTGCGGGAAAGTAGTCACACTTCAGGACCACGACGTGCTTGTTGCAGCCTACACCAATGATACTAAAAATATTCCCTCATTTTTCTGCCTCCCGGCCGGCCGGCTCGGAAAGGAACGTATGGAATGGGAGCCTCAGTTCCATCTCTCGTCTGCTAGTGCATTCAGGAGCGTAGCAGCGCTTTGGCATGACGATACAAGCCGAATCAAAACAACTCTACTCTCTAGCCAAAAAAACTAGCTCAGTGTTCTTCAGGCAAAAAGCGAAACTTCGAAAGTCACGAACTCAAAAGGTGGGGAAGTCAGAGTCAGAAGGTCCACTTGCCCCGTCTCGAACCCAGACAATCCTTGTGCAAGTCATCTATTGTTCGCGCTGTCTTGCGACCAATATACTCCACATGTGGAGCCCAGGATAAATCATTATCCAGGATTAAACCAAGGTACTGGGCTGTAGGGGTCACACAAAGTTTCTCGCTAATGCAGAAGACCGCCGGTTGTATTGCAGCCGCGCCTCGTGGCCGGCTGGAGAGCAACTGTGTCTTGGAAGTATTGAGGAGCAGGCCAATGTCCTCCAGCCAGGTAGCAAGGTTTGTCATGGCTTGCGTGAGGGTTCTGCACACTACAGCAGGATCAGAATGGGAGCAGTCGATGACAATGTCATCTGCAAATTCTTGGTGCTGTACAGACGGTGGCAGTATGGTGTGGAGTTCACTAGTGTAGAGCACAAAAAGCAGTGGCCCAAGGACGCTACCTTGTGGAACACCACGGGAGCAACTGACAGCTTCACTAACAGAGTCAAGAACTTTGACACTCTGGAAACGCCCTGAGAGATAGTCAGTGAACCATTCTAATGCAGTTCCAGCTATACCAAGGGAAAACAAAACTGTAACTAGACGTTCATGCTTAACACGGTCGAAAGTTTACGACATATCAACGAACATTGTACCAGTGAGCTCTCGTTTGCATCTAGCGGTGGACCATCGATTAACAGCTAACACAAGTGCATCCTCAGTCGAATGTTGCGTGCGATAAGCAAACTGGCTGTCGGGCGATAGCTGGTGTGTCTCCAGATAGACTGAGGGCTGAGTGTCGTGGTGAGATCACTATACCATGCATGTTTTACCAGATTACGTTACGGAAACGCAGCGAGGACGAGAGAAAGTAGTCTTTCGTGGATATGCCCACGTGAAAGATAAAGACGGGCCCAGAGACATCAGTTACTGGAGGTGTGAGCGGAAGGACGAAGATGTGGTCAAGTATGCTAACATGTACGTGTACATGGAGCAATTCATGAATATGCATGATTATACCTACCTTCATATACATCCCCATTCATCACACAGATCCTCGGCCAGTGTATATTCAATTTATTTGCTCAAGAATGAAATAAATACGGTTAATATACACCACTACAGAGAACTAAATACTGTTAATATATACTCCTTTTTAGGATTCAAAAAAGAGGGACTTAGAAATTTTCTCTCCACTTCAAAAAGAAAATTGAAAGAAAGAAGACAAAGGAAGAGAACAAGCGGGATTCGAACCCAAAAAAGTATGCATCTCAAGCAACCCCTTATACCACCCAGCCACTGTGCTGCAGATGCTGAACCCTGTTGTTCTTACAATATTGTACCCAAAATAGGCAACATCCTATGTACACTATAGTACAAATGCTATACTAAAAAGGTTAGTATAGCAGTGTGTGATGAATGGGGTGTATATTGAAGTAGGTATAAGTCGGATATACCCTTCGCTGGAGTGTATATGGAAAATACACACCATCATACAAACCTCGGCC